CTCTCCCCTGTCAACTCTCTGATGCTTTCACAAAGGAGCTTGTAATATTTTACTTAAAATATATTTGGATTTTTTTCTAGTGGGAGTTGGTTTGAATGATTAGATCACTTGATAATTTCTTCTAGTAATCAATATCATTGTGATCAATATTTAAAAGTTTGGGCTTTCTTTCCCATCAAATTTCAATTCTGTCTCAGAATCCCCTCAGTTACATTGCTGGTGATCCATGAACTTATGTCCATTCGGAATTGCGAACTAATAGAGGCGTCCAGGTCTCTAGCCACTGGGGTGACAAACCATCCTGGTTTCCCAAGACTGAAGGGTTTCCTAGGAGTAGGACTTCTAGTGCTAAGCCTAGAAGAGGCTTGGGCAAACCAGCATCAGTTGTCCCTCTATCATTATGATCATTGCTTTCATTGCTAAGTGTAGTGTGAATAATGATGGAGTGACCAACTCATCCTGGAGGGGACAGAGCCTTCAGACCTTACTAATGGGAACAGATAAACCTGTGGCTCAGGATGTCCTCCATTTTCATTCTGTTGGTTGGCCAGTGAGATGGCTTAGCAGGACAGAAGTGAGACTCTTAACAGCTGCTGATACTGATGGATTTAGTGCCATCTTTCCTAGCCCAATTCTGGCTGCTCTTCCTTTAAGAAAGACATTTTCTGGCCAGGAAGCTCATTGTAATGCAGTGAACTAGATGGTCCCAGTTCTCTTTCCAATTCCCCTATAAATTACAAAGAGTTACTGAAAGTGGAGTCCCTCTTCTGCATTTTTTTCTGTGATTCATCCTGCCCAAGCTTACTTTTTGGTTGGTTAATAAAAGATCAAGGGAGTATTTTCTCCCTGTGTACTCTCTTCTTGTAAGCTTTTAATCAGTATGGTTTATATCTACATCCTATCTTAGTAGTATGTTTGCCTGTGCCCCTTGCCCACCAGCTAGGAATATAACAGCACAATACCTACATAGTACCCGCAGGAAACAGCCTAACATTGTTGACAGATCCATGAGAATTTCCTCAAATGGGAATCTGGAATTTTCTGCATGAGCTCAGCATTAATGGCTTATGTACATCAAAGGGGTATTAATATAACATTGTAGAGGTGATGTGTCAAGGAAAACAATGAGTGAATAAATGAGAAGGAAGAGCATCAGAATCATAAAAGGACAAAGATATTTAACTTAACCACATCTGGCTAAGGATATTTCCTTATTAAACAAGAGTGGCAGATCTCAATGCACAGTCCAAGGACATCTGGGGCTTCCAAGACTTTTAGGGGTTCTGTGACATCTAAATTATTTTCATAGTAATATTAAGAAATTAATTGCCTTTTCTTCATTCTCATGGCCTATTAAGTGTACAGTGGAATTTTCCAGAGGCTATGTTATATTTAGTCATAACACAGAATGCAGACCTAGATATGAGGATGCAACTTTCTTCAAAGAAGTCAGATATTTTTTTAAAAATTGCAAAAACCTAAGAAGATATAAACATTTTCTGTTTTGGAAAATATTTTTATAAACACTGTGTTACTTTTGTTAGTATGTAAAGGGCTTTTTATTGTTATTTTAAATGATTTTTAAAAATCACTTGATTCTGTTTTAATTTTACAGATAGCAAATTTCAACAAACACAACACATCTAGGGCTGGGGTTGTGCCTCAGCGGTAGTGTGCTCGCTAGCACATGCGAGGCCCTGGGTTCGAGCCTCAGCCCCACATAAAAATAAAGGTACTGTGTTCAACTACAACTAATAAATAAATAAAGGAAAAAAGAAAACACATCTAAACCAAATCTCTTTGGGTGTCTTTTAAAAGTGTAAAGGGATTCTGAGACTAAAAAGTTCAATATCTACTGGGGAAAGAACCAGAAACTTAATAGTGAAAACCACATAATAGTTATTCTGCACATTGTGAGCTATGCCACATGTGTATATCAACGGCATTACTAACTTGCTGAACTATGTATAGTTCTTGCCGTCGTGGGTTACCGTTTTCAACTAATCATTTTGGATACTCATTGCTTTTATTACTCATATCAAATATTTACTGAGCTTCTGGCTCCATGGCAGCCACCACAATAGGCTTTAGGGGTACAAACAGGAACAAGATGCCATTGTTGCTTTCAAGTAGCTCACTTCAAGTAACATCAAGACAAGTGAACAGGCCATCTCTATAGAGTGTGTAGAGAGCTGTCAGAGGAGAACCAGGAGCTATGTGATGTGACAGTGGGCACTTCATCTGGGCTGGGAAAGCTGTGGAGGGAAGTTGTCCCAAAGGAAGTGGTGTCTGACCTCTGACCTGGAGGATGATTGGGAGCTACCAACTAGGAGAGGGCAAGTACTTCAGCACCCGAGGCACCTTGGTATGAACCTCTTGATTCTTAGTAGACATATCTGCTGACTTCCTGTAAGGTGTATTGTTTGGGGGCCTCATTCTAATGAGCTTTGAACCTCTGTTCAAGGAAACTCTTCCTTTCACAAGATTTTCCCCTCTGCCTCTCTGACTTTATAAGCAGATTATAGAGATTAAGCAGGGCTACCAGATGTGTGGGACTGTGTGGAGCACATTTGACTGACTGGTGGGCAGGAACTCACTGAGAGTGAAACAGAGACCCCAAGGTCAGTAGAACTTGCTGCTCTGCTTGCCGTGGCATATAGGGATACAGTCCCACTCAACCATTATTCCTGTTATGTGGGTCTCAGGGGCCACTATTCCAAGAACTTCAATGTCAGAGGAGGTTTGCACAGACCACAGGAAGCATCCCAGCTAGATGGGCAAATGCTGACACATCGCATGCAATAGGATTGGGCATCCTTGAAGCATGCCTGGAAGGGAACTCAGACATCAGGAACTCAGTTACAGGAGCAGGTGGATGTAGTGGTCACTTGGTGCTGGGCCCCCAGAATGGGACTAGAGCAACTCTGTACCTCCTTCCTATCTTGATTGTTCTGAGAAATCACATGCACTGGGATGAAAGAAATTAGGCCAAGGAAAGAGATAAATTGTGGTACTTTTCTGACGAGGACCTTCTCCTTCTTTTGTTAACTTCAAGATAAATAAAAGACACTCGGCCTGGAAATTATAGGAAGATACAAAATTATTTGATATGTTTCCCCAAAATTAATCTAAAAATACAATCACTCAAAATCCCATTGCTTACTTATTCTTATTGATCGTGCCTCTTCATTACCAGATCTTTGACTTTTACACTAGACTCTACTGGAAACAGGAACAGACAAGCCTAGAACAAAAACCTCTTAGCGAGAACGTTTTTTAGATTTTTACAAAATGACTGTAGTTCGCTCCACCTTCTCTCACTTCTCCTAAATCCTAATTTATGAACAAAAAGGAGTGCAACACTGAACAAAGGAGCCCAAAGAGCAACAAAGCCAGTCTCCCTCCAACTGCACCGCAGAATGCCTTGGGGGTGTGAGGGGGGAAATAGTGGCCTCCCCAGGCCCAAAGCAGGTACGCCATAGAAACCCTGACCACAAGGAGAACCATTCCCTCTATTGAAAACATGAAACCCCAAACTAGTTCTAAGCATCCTGAAGGCACTGGTGCTGTTGTGGGGTTGGGGATGTGGGCTTTGGCTGCTTGGCAACCAGCTTGGGGCTCAGCAAACTTCTAACCAAGAAAATAACACGTGATTGGTTCCTCTGTGGGGAGTACAATAGCACCCGTAAAATGATTATAGTTAAACAAACAAACAAACAAAAAAAGGCAAAGTAATTCAAAGGGTATCAGGTCTGCTCCTAATAAAGGCAAAAATCCATCAACTGGGGGGTTTAATTTCTTCTCTGTTGCCCTAACAAACTAGCCCTGTAACATTTGCTTCCCACCCTATAAAAACGCTTCCTCTTTTAATGACAACATTGCATATATTTTTTAAAAATTTGATTTTGAAAGCAGAGCCTGGATTTCGCAGAAATGGCTGAGCAGGGTGAAGGATTCGGTAGAAGAAATTGACCAAGTAGATTCAGGTTATGGGGACTATTTTCATGTGCCAGGTATTTAAAAATAAAGGGTTCAAAATAACATATTTTGTCAGCATATGGTTTTTGTGACTAGCTGCTGACCATAATTTTTCCCCATCGCCTGCTTTCCCAAGTTGGTTTCATAGAAGGCTTTATTGTAATCCAGGAGCATTGTTTCCATTAATTTCTATGACAAGGAACCCAAAACACAGGGTGCTGAGAGCAACAAAACAGAGTTGGGGAAACAGTCATGACTTGGCACAAAGTGTGACAAGCTGTAAAAAAGCGAATGTTTCAATATCTGCAGTGGTGTGGATTTCCTATGAACAACCTTTTCTCTTCTAAACAGTATCATATTCTTTTCAAGCACATTTAGAACGCAAGTCAAGCTGTGTTTTATTTTTTATTATAATAAACACAGTCAGTTTACTGTAACAAAGACATACTAGTGGTGATCAGTTGAAAGCCCAAGTACAACACCATAAGCTGGGCGGGGGCTGGGGTGGGGGCCGGGGGGTGGGGAGTCAACAGATAAAATAAAAGACCAGCCGTCTGGAAAGTTCTCTTAAAAGAGCATAAAAAGGCAGTGTTTTCTTATGAGACTAACACAGAATGCCAAAATATCTACTGGCTTCTTTTTTTGTTGTTGTTGTCACTTGTGACAATTTGTAACTAAAAATAGAAAATCCTTCAAAATATTGGGCTTTCTCATTTGTTTTTGTTTTTAGATCTCCATCATAAAATGAAAAAAAATTCGAACTGTCTTTTAAATGGTAATCATTATTCTTACGCAAGTTTCTATCACCTAATAAATATATTGATTATACTGCTACTCAAGCTGTTTTCTCAAAAATGCTTGTTTAAAATGTTTGCCATGCATGCACTTACATTTTTTTTGATAAAGGCCAAATGAATAATTTGATGTAAACAGTTACAAATTGAGTATATGGAAGTTTCATGATTTAAATTACATTCTTGGATTCAAATTCATTAGGAAAAAAATATAATAAATCATCTTACCATATCTTGAACTACTGATTTTTCACACTCAAGTTCATATCTTAATCTTTCTCTGCTATCCATTAACTGAAATAGAGAAGAATATTACATTTTAATTCAAGATAAGAACAGAACATCTGAAATTTTGCCTCAGTAGAATTTGGAAAATCATTTTTTGATATGAGAAAAAATTCATTCCTGTGTGGTCAAAGGAAAAACTAAATTTGTACAGATTATTATGTTAATGATATTATTATAGGATTATTGTATAAGCAAACAAATGTACACAGAAAATGCCAATATATTTATAACCTTCCTCACCCCACCCTTCTCACAAATGTGAGACCAATACATAATAAAGCAAGTCCTAGTATGTCACAAGAGCAAGTTTGCTTTACTCTTTATATAACCCATTTCTCTTAGTTTTTTGTGTTATATTTATGTGAATATCAAGCCTATTCATATTGATTGAAAATAGCCATCAAAAGCCTATATACTTCACTATTGTACCCATGTGACTAGCATGGCATTTTAAATAATAATTCATTTGTGTGTTTTAAACACTTGTAAAATTAAACCCTTGACCTTGACATCCACTCAACTCAATTAATTCATGTACTTATTAGTTTAACAGATACCCCAAGGTCACCATCCTTTTTGTTTCAGGGTTTTATAGTTTTCCTGATTTATCCAAGTATCCTCTTAATGGGTCTCTCTGGCTCTACATTTTCCTACCTTCCATTCATTTTCTTCCTGAAACACAAATCTGATCCAATCACAATGTTCAAGGCTCCTTGATGTACTTGGAAGGTAATTCAAACACTTGACATGAATATTAATTCTTTCCAATTGTGCCCTGTCCCTTGTCACCCCTTACTTTTATGGACCCTTCAGCTCTAGCAAACTACACATCTTTCCCTGCAAGATGCTTCCTCATTGTGCTTAGGATGAACTTCCCACTCTCCCTCTCTCCTGGCTAACTCTAGCCCCTCTTGTGGGAGTCAGCTCAGTATCTTTCGTCTAGGCTTCCTGGATCTCTGACATGCCTCATAAGTGCACCGTAGCATGCTGAAAACCCCAACTCCTGGTCTGTCTCCTTTCTAGAATGAAATTCATGAGAATGGATTGTATTGTGGCCATAGCTGAAGGACAGATACGCCTATCCCTGTTATTAGATTATTGGAATTAAAACACAAAAGCTACTGAACTCCACATTGGATAGTGCTTAGCACACATCACTGGCAAGAGGTCAGCCTACCCAAATTCAGTTCCATTTTCAATTTGTTTTTAATATCATTGGGGGGGGGATGTGGCTTATCCAAAAGCTTGAGTTGTCCTTTTTATTCTTCTGTTTTTTTCTTATCCCTTCCCCACTCCCCAGGCTTCAACCTCTTTCTTACCTACCGCAAATTCTCACCATGTGGTCTCATTTAACTCTTATTTCATCCTCTAGCTATATCAAATTGCAAACAGTTCCATGAACATATTTCACACTATAGGTATTCATACTCTATAGCCTGTTTTATACAAGCTCTTCTGACTTCTTACCTTGGAGTGGGTCTCCCTCAGAATAGGATATGGGACTACTGTTTGTGAAGCCTTATCCTTCCACATGAGGCCAGGTATCTTTTTTCTACGTGCATATTTCTAATATGGCCATATCTACTTCTTTATGTTTTTATCTATCTCCTAGACTGGGCATCCCTCCCAGCTGAGGTCAATTGTGTCAATATATGCACTTTAATTTTTTTTCCACAGTAGCACAGTGTTTAGCACTTAAAAAAAAAAAAAAAAAAAAACCTAAGAAGCACTGCTGACTTGGTGAAGTATCATGGAAACAAACCAGCAAATATCAGTTCTCATTCCTTCCACAATTCTGATCTGCTTTCTAATGGACAAATCCCTTTCGTTACATTATCATATTCTACACACACTAAGCCTGGGAGAAACAGGAGGGAGGGGAGAAGGGACTGGCTGGCCCAAGGGGACATAGTGGCAGAAATGGAACCGGAACCTAGGGTTCTAGAATCTTTCTGCTCAATATCAAAATGTGCCTATATTTCATGTTTGTATGGACTTCCAGGACAAAGAAAGAAATAAAGAGGAAAGGATTTTCTTAAATGATCAAGCAGGATAGAAGTGCTATATTTGTCTAAAGTATATATGTCAAATAGAAATATAATGTGTCATATACATAATTTTGAATTTTGCAGTAGCTTTGTTATAAAGGTAAAAAAGTAACTTTAACAATGTTCATTTTCCCTATATATGCAAAATATTATTATTTTAATGTGTAATCAAATTAAAAATTATTTGTGAGCTATTTTTCATTTTTATATTAAATCCTTGAAATCCATTGTGTATCTGTCACTTACACATATCTCAACTTGAGAGTTATGTTTTTAGAGTTTTTTTTTTAAATTTTAAAAACTGTGTATATGAAAAAGTAGATTCGCATACCGAAGCAATTAAAAATATACCTAAAGATTTTCCCCAATAACTGAAACAAGTATCAGTTATTCAATTTAAATTTAAAATAAACAAAATTTAGATTAAATTTAATTAAAATTTAGATTATCAGAATTAAAACACAAAAGCTACTGAAGTCTTCTTTCTTCATGAAAGACCTCTGCAATAAAAATTATACAACATTGAAGAAAGAAACTGAAGAAGACACTAGAAGATGGGAAGGCCTCCCATGTTCGTAGATAGGAAGAATTAATATTGTTAAAATGACCATATTACCAAGATGTGACATAGAGATTCAATGCAATCTCCATCAAAATACCAATGACATTCTTCAAAGAACTTGGGGGGAAAAGTCCTAAAATTCATTTGGAAGAATCATAAACCCAGAATAGACAAAGCAATTCTAAGCAAGAGAAGCAATATTGGAGATACAATGCCTGACTTAAATTATACTACAGAGCTATCGTTACAAAAATAGTATGGTACTGATATAAAAATAGACACGCAGACCAATGGTACAGAATAGAAGACACAAATACAGACACACAGATACAGTCATTTAATCCTTGAAAGGGCTCCAAAAACATACTTTGGAGACTAGATAGACAGCATTTTTAACAAATGATGAAGGGAAAACTGGTTATCTGAATGTTGAAGAATGAGACTAGATTCTTATCTCACTCTGCACAAAAGTCAATTTAAAATGGAACAAAGACTTAGGAATTAGACCAGAAACTTTGCAACTCCTAAGAGAAAACATAGGGTTGACACTTCAACATGTCTGTGCAGGCAAAAACTTCCTCAGTAGGGGGCCCTAATTACAATAAGATATATTCCATGCATGTATAATTATATCAAAATGTACTCTACTGCCATGTATAACTGAAAAGAACCAGTAAAAAAAAAAAATTTCCTCAGTAGGACTCTTGAAACCCAGAAAGTAATGCCAAAAATTTAAATGAGATGGCATCAAATTTAGAAGTTTGTGTACAGCAAAGGAAAAAGTAAGAGAGAATGTACAAAATGGGAGACACTGTTGATGCTACTTTTCTGACAGAGGCTTAATATCCAGAATATATGAAGAACTCAAAAAGCTTAATACCAAAAAGTAACAAAAAAACCCAAATAACTCTATCAATAAATGGGCAAATGACTAAACAGACACTTCTCAGAAGAAAAAATACAAATAGCCAACAAAAATACTAAAAAGTACTCAATGTACTCAGCAATTAAGGAAATGTAAATCAAAATTACACTAAGATTTCATCTCATGAGAATGGCAATCATCAAGAATACAAATAATAATGAACACTTGAGGATGTGAAGAAACACTTTTACATGGTGGGATTGTAAATTAGTGCAAACACTATGAAAATCAGCATGGACTTTCCTCAAAAAATTAGGAATACGGTCTAGCTGTATTTGATCTAGCTGTATTTATACTAAAGAATTATGGTCAGCATACTATAGTGACACATGCATACCCATATTTATGGCAGCACAATCCACATAGCTAGGTTATGTAATCAGCCTAGGTATGTGTCAAAATGGATGAGTGGATGAAGAAAATATGGTATATGTCCACAATGGCATTTTATTCAGCCATAAAGAAGACTGAAGTTACCTCATTTGCAGGAAAGTAGATGGAACGTGAAAGTATTATATTAAGTGAAAGAAGCCAAACTCAGTCAAGGGTCACATGCTTCCTCTCGAATGTGGAAGCTGGAGAACAAAAAGGGAAAAGTGTGTGGGGGGGCAATTTACAAAATTAGAATGAAGACCAGTAGAGGAAGGGGACCCAGGTGAGAGAGTATGGGAGGGAAAGGGGAGGTTTTTGGGAATGAAATTGACCAAACTATATGTTATATTGTGTACACATATAAATATGTAGCAATGAGGGGATGGATTTGCGGTTCAGGGGTAGAGCACTTGCATAGCATGTATCAGCACTGGGTTCGATTCTTAGCACCACATATAAACAAATAAATAAAACAGGGCTGGAGATATAGCTCAGTTGGTAAAGTGTTTGCCTTATATGTACAAGGGCTTGGGTTCAAACCCCAGCACCACACAAAAAATAAATTAATTAAATAAAATAAATGAATAAAATAAAGGTCCATTGTTGAGAGCCACTTGTCAAAAGAAACGAACTTTATTTTTAGAACCACACAGCCAAACAAAACAGCTCCCCAGGAAAAACCTTCAGAGCCCAACTGCCACCACCAGCTTCCCACAAGCCTCTCCACCTCCCCCACTCCTCCTGCTCTTGAGGCTGATTGGCTGGGTCGCATGGGCAGAGCCAAAAGAAGTCCCCCAATGAGCAGCTCCCTGGTCTGAAAGGGCAGGGAAACAGCCCAATGAGCATCACCGCAGAGGAGCCAATCAGTTGGCAGCTAGAAGTTTGCTGGGGCCGCTGTGAGCCAATCATCAACTGGCAGCTGGAAGTTTGCTGGCAGCTGGAAGTAAACTAAAAATTATACATAAAAATGTCATAATGAGCCCCACTATTATGTATTATAATGCACCAATAAAAACATACAAAAGAAAAAAACTTTCAGTTCTTCAGTTGCACTGGCCATATTTCAAGTGTTCAGTAACCACATGTGGCCAGTGGCTACCCATGACCAGTGCAGGTCTCAAAAGCTGAGGCAGCACTTAACTGATATATTTAAACTCACACAGGGTACAACCAGTAATGCAGTGTATGTTTCTTCCTAATTGATGACTTGCCATTGACATTTTTTTTGTGTTTTAATTCTTTATTGTATCTCTCAGAGAGTAGGAAGCTTATGGAATTTCTTTTCGCTGATAGTAGTATAGACGAGTTTTAGAAACATTTACAATAAACTGGTGTTCTCTGGTAGGTTAAGTGAAACTAGAAGCAGAGATTTCATTTTTAACCCTAGAAGTCAATGCCAAGAAGGTTGAAGTTGTCTGTTTACAAATTCTGTTGCTACCCTAGTAAAAAAAGGAATCTACATCATGGCCAGTGCAATGGGGTGAAGCACAAGGAAATAAGATCATTTTGTAGAGTTCAGTGATCAGAGCAATCATTTCCCAACTCTGATCTATCAGGGTAACCATTTCTTTAAAAATTAGTTCTCAGATGGGCATCATTACCCTAGGTACAGGATGATTGCATGAATGGTGCGTCTCTACACGGAGTACAACTAGAGAATTGAAATGTTGTGCTCTATTTGTGTATGATGAATTGAAATGCATTCTGCTATCATGTACAACTAAGTAGAACAAATAAAAAATAAATTAATTTTTAAAAAATTAGTTCTCAGAGGTGACTTTATATAAAATTGAAGAACATTCCAAATGGCAACATAAGACCTAATTGAAACATGAACCTAAACTTAGGCGTATGTGGCCACTGTAATTTTGAAAATGTGGTTGGTGTAATAGAGAAACTGGATTTTTAGTACAATTCACAATAGCTAAACTGTGAAGCCAACTTAGATGCCCTTCAGTGGATGAATGGATAAAAAAAATGTGGCATATATACACAATGGAATTTTACTCAGCAATAAAAGAGAATAAAATCATGGCATTTGCAGATAAATGGATGGCCTTGGAGAAGATAATGCTAAGTGAAGTTAGCCAATCCCAAAAAACAAATGCTGAATGTTTTCTCTGATATAAGGAGGCTGACTCATAGTGGGGTAGGGAGGGGGAGCATAGGAGGAATAGATGAATTCTAGATAGGGCAGAGGGTTGGGAGGGAAAGGGAGGGAGCAGGGGATTAGCAAGGATGGTGGAATGTGATGGACATCATTATCCAAAGTATATGTATGAAGAGACGAATTGGATGTCAACATATTTTATATACAAACAGAGATATGAAAAATTGTAGTATATATGTATAATAAGAATTGTAATGCATTCTGCTGTATTTTTTTAAATCAATAAAAAAAGGAGAGAAACTGGATTTTTAATTTTATCTAATTTTAACTTTAAAATTGATATTTGGTTCAGTTACTGGAAAATAAATTTATTTGGAATAATCTGGGCATGAGAATCTGCTTTCTCTCCTATGTGTTTTTTAGTTTGTTTGTTTGCTTGTTTGTTTAGGGTACTAGGAATTGAACCCAGGGGCTTTACCACAGAGCACTATCCCTACCCCTTTTTGTTTTTTATTTTGAGACAGGATCTCCCTAAGTTGGTTAAGGCCTTGCTGAATTGCTGGACTTGAACTTTTGATCCTCCTATCTCAGCCTCCCAAATTTCTGGGATTACAGACATACATTACTATGCCTAGCACCTGTATGGATTTTTGAACTCTAAATACATCTTCTTCCTGTTAATCCCTCAAAAACCAGTTTTCAGGGTGCCCTGCACTTGTGCTCAGTTCTAGGAACATAACCAGAGACTGAGCGCAGTCTTTGTCCTCCTGGAGTATGGCGGGGAAGTCTGATCATAACTACAAAGTGTTTTGAGCGCCACATAGGGGAGGTACAGGACCCAGAGAGCTCAAAGCAGGGGCCCCTGGGTTGTGCAGCAAGGGCAGGAACTGCTATGGTCCTGCTGCATTAGATGTACTGGGAAATCTTGATTTTCGTGACACCAAAAAGAATTCCCTGCTCTAAATAAAGGTTTTCCAGATAACATAAGCCCCATTCATTCATATACTGAAAGTGAACCAATATCGGATCTAAAACTAAGAGTGCTTATTCTTAGTAATGTAATTTCCTTACAACCATGAGCATGTCTTTGCACATCCCCGTGTCCTGAAACTTCAGTTCCTTATAATCAACAAGGTTGCTGCCCATTTTACCCCCAATAAAGGGAGCATCCATACACTTGTGCATTTCCAAGACAGAACTCTAATTCACTACTACCCAAAAGAACTAGGAAATACCTAATCAAACGTATACAATGGGAAACATATGACAGCTTTTCTCTACATCTTAAGATACTCCGAACACATTGTCATTTTGCCAGTGGTACTGATATTTCAATTTAAAAGAGTCATTTATCAATGTGAAAATATTACGTACCTGTTGAATAGTTCTCTGATCCTGCTCTGAAATCTCTTTGAGATTTATAATTTCATCTTCTGTAAACAAAAGGAGAGAGAGGCCAACCATGAAATTACATGCGTATGCCCTGTATTCAAGCTGCCTGCTTCAGGGCAGGCTGGGAAACCACTGGTGGGCATGGTGGATGCAAGTCCTAGCAGGAATGTGACCTTCACAACTGCCCTTGACATTCACTGCTTTCTTCCTGCTGTTCGGACGGCTGGTCAGATAGGGATTAAGAGGTAAGTTCAAGATCCAAGTGTGGCTGAGAGCTGAAAGCTATTCATCAATACTAGCAGTGGACATTTTGCTGTTAGTCACAGCCAATACAGAATGCTTTAGCAGGTGCCACTTTATAACTCAATAAGAACTACCAAAACCTGAGAAAGCACCACAGAGGAGAAACGGAGTGACGCTGGTATAGCATAACTTTATACTAAAAGAACCCCTTACCATATCTGATTTGATCAATATTTTGCTATAATTTTTGTATTCCTTGCTCATTACCTACTTCTTTTCATATCAAAGATTAAGGGCGACATCATAACCATTAACTTAAATACAAAGACAATAGTTAAATGAAGCAATCTAACTTTGGTCATGTAAATGCAACTTTTACCAATATTTACAGTAGGAAAAGAAGGGTATAAAGTGTACCCATGAGCATCTGATTTGAAATTTGTATAGAAAATTAAAGATAATTGAGTAGTAGCACTTTTTTTTAAAGAGGTATTTCTCTACAAAGCATATCTCAATAGGTATACTTAAGAATTCAGACGCTATAGTTCAGATAATCATTTAAGCATGTAGGATAAATCAGCAAAAGTTTCTGTTAATCGTATTTCTAAGTGAGGTAGAACACTGGTGAGCATTGCAAAAGCCAAAACGTGGCTTGAAAATAACACCCTGAGGTAATAAGATGGGGCTCAGGATTACAAGAAATCTTTTCCCCCAAGCCTGGAGTCCTATCTCAAAGCAAAAGCAAAGATGACTATCAAGTTGATCTTTTAAATGAAAATAACCAAACGAACGTTATGTGTGGGAAGAACAAACTTATCTACGAAGTGCCCAATTTTTCTCACACATGATTCCAAAAGGTTACCTAGTACTGAATTTTCTTTGATATTGAGTCGAATTTCTTCTTCCAGATCTGCAATCACTTGAAGCAGTCTCTCATTCTCCTGTTTGTACTCTGTGGAGTTTTCCTTTTCAAAGGTTTGTCTTGGAGAGCTGGTCTCTTTGGCAAAGAGGTCCTGAAAGATAGGGAATTCCATATTTCTAAGCAGGGAGCCGAGGATTTAAATATGCAACACGGGGACAATACTGATACAGAAGAGCTATCATATAATTTTCTGAATTCTATTACACACTTATAATATGAATAGTAAAAAGGAAGGAGACTAAATAGAGCTTGCTGGAAGAAAGGCTGCAGTACATTCTGTACAAAGCCCACAACACATGGGGACATTTTATTGACAGGAATAATGCATATCATACTGTTTGTATGCCCTCATCATTCAGGTCAATTCACTATGGAGGCTGTGTCCGGGGAGGCAGCTGGGGCCCCTCCACCCACACTTCCCTCTGTGTGTCTGAAGTGCTGTCCGCCCGTAACTAGGCAGGCTGGGGAGACCGCGGACGGGCAGCGCCAGGGGGTGGCAAAGTGCAAGGCTAAGGAGGGGGGCTTGTTGCCTTTGTGGCATTTCCCAGTGTCAGCGCTGCCAGTGTCTTGAGGAGCACATCACATGTCAAAGTGGTGACGTTTTCAGGCTGGGAGCCGCATGGAGCCCATCAGGCGCACGGATATCCACGCAGTTGGTTTTCTGCTTGGTGGAGGAGCCACCCAGAGGCAATTCATATTCTGAACATTAACATGGCTTTGCATGCCTGTCACCCGGGGACTGTGCAGGCGTTTAATGCTATTGAAGACTTCGGTTTAAATCTCTATGCAAACAGTGATTACCTTGTAAGAAGGTTTCAGGATAACTTACAACAAAAGACTTTAAAGTTATAGTTTTAGTAAAGCAAACTCATTTACATTTTTATTATGTGCGTCTTTTGTTTAAATCTTGCCATGTCCATTATGGGAGAGGCTTTTTCTTACGCAACAGAAGCTTATTGGGACAGCCACTCTTTTTTTCTCCTCTTCTTCTTGTCTGGTTCAAAGCTATTGAAAACATCTGAATATGCTCCCTTATGGTTGTCTAGATTTTACCACCACACATTAAAAAAAAAAAATAAGATGTAATGGATTGGGGAGGCTGAAGCAGAATTTAATACTTCATCGTGGCAAAATATTGAATCAGTTACATAATCTCAAAATATTAAACTCATGTTATTATGCTAAAAGAGAAAGAAAAGTCTTCAGGCTTTACTTCAAAATTACTAGAGTCTTCAAATAATTTTGAATTTTAAAGTAATCTACAGGTGAATTTCAACCCTTTTACAAAATTAATTCCTTTTACAAAATTAATAATAATAAAATATCTTCTCAAAACCAAAATATTTCTTCTAATATACTGGTTTCCTTTTGGAACTGGACTCTTATTTAACTTTAGAGATATCAGGAAGTAAATTACTTAAATGTTTTCCCCTGTATCATAATGGTTCAAAAGAACAAGAAATGATTGAAATGTTTTGTAACACATTAATAAACCTTTTAAAAAACCCAGCTTACTAAGTTATGTTCTTACATACCAGAGTTAGTAGGATTTAAAATATTCTGAGTTTTGTATTAAGCTCAATTACAAATATTCAAGGTTTTGATTTACTATTTAACTTATTTGAGCCCAATTCATGCTTTACTAATAAATATTATCAAGTCTAGTAGGTAGTTAATAAACAACTTGGTGTTCTTAGTAAAGGAAGAACCCTCCCCAAATAATAAAAGCTAAAGCAAGAATCCCAATCATTAACTTCTTGTCTCACACAGCTCAACTTGAGACCATCACAGAATGTATGTATAGACTAAAAGGATTTTTAAAAAACAAACAGTACTGGCTTAATAGAGTTAAACATACATTTCCCAATAATGGTGGATTATGAAGCTCTCCAGTGGACAAGCATCCATTATAATAAACTAAAGGAAAACTATTTGAAAAAATCAAGATAAATTGTAAAATGCACAGCTAGTGCAACTAACACCTAAATCTGTTATCTAGGAATCTCTCTGTATGAAAGCAAGACCCAAGGAAAACACATTAAATTCAAGGGGTTTTCCTCCACCTATCAGTGTTCAACCACCCTCTTTTTTTGATGAGGGTAACCTTTAGCTCTGTCCCCACCATCTGTCCGCTGTAGGAACTGCAAGTCATTAACTATTCAGCCGCCCACAGCAATGAGGACACTCATTAGCAAAATGAACAAAGGGATAGTTCTGGGCTGCTATGGTTCTCTGTTACACTCTTGAGTGGCAGGTTTTGTGGTGATGTTTCTTCTGCCATCTGCCCACATCACCAATTTTGGTTTGCTTAAACCACAAGACTCCTTTTAAAGTAAACTGCATTAATAAAACAAGGTTAAGATGGATTGTGATCCTTAAAAGGTGGTTGATTGGGTGTAGCTATTTTTAAGTCACATTATACTCTAAGAGAAACTGTGGGTAATCCAGGATCCTTCAGGAGTTTTAAATGTATTAAGAAACTTGCCATTCTCAAGTTTTTACTATCATACTATGAAAACTAGGACTTCAGGAAAGTGCATACATTATTTCTCTTGTGAATATTCACAAAATAGACGGAATCCTGGTTTCCAATTTTCAGAATCCCAAACTGAATCTTGAAAGAATCATTTCTAAAAAGAGTTGAAAAAAAAAAAATTGAGAACCTTCCTAGCTAGGGAGTGGTCTGCTGAACAGTAGCCCCAGTAGCACCTGAGAACTTTTTGGAAATACAGACTCTCAGGCTCCAGCCCAGCTCTGCTATGTCAGAGTCTGTATCTTAACAACATCTTCAGTGATTCATATGAACAGTAGAGTCTGGGAAGTCCTGGTTCAGAGCACTTTATGTGCCTTCTCAGCAGTTTCCCTTCTGTGATATTGGCATCTCAATTCTTCAGGCTCCATGTACAATACTTGGACATCTCAATTTGATGTTAGGGGAGGAGTAGGGTTCTAATGTATGCCCATGCCTCATGACAGTCACGGAGATGAGCAGGTGCTTCCTCAATGAGTGACAACCAGGAAAGTGGCACACTGGGGCTGCGCAGCCCTGCAGAGCTGCTGGTCTTGATTGACAGCTCTGTTTCAAAGTTGTCAGCAACTAGCAGACATGTTCACCAAGGAAGGGAGGGTGTGTGATGGCTCATCGGTATTTGGGTAAGAAAGAAAAATGACAAGACTGTTCAACGCAGCAACTCTGATTGAAATTAAAACACACGTGCACACATACACATGCATACACATACTCTGACAGGCTAACTTCCTCCATAAGTTCTCCAGGGGACTGATTAGTCATGAGACGGCATGGTAACCTACAGCAGTATGTAGCAAGGTCACATGGGTTTTTCCATATATTAAAAATTATAAAATGCTTTTCCCGAATGAAGTTGCTCTCAGAAAAAATTCTGTGTCAAGGATTTTCTCACCTGGAAATGAGGGTTCTATAACTTGAAGAGCTTCCTTTTCTTATTTCCATTTTGTTTATAATAGAATTTAAACTGTTTTTAAAAATTTTTTTTGTACCAGGTATTGAACTCCAAAGGGCTTAAACACTGAACCACATCTTGTTTTTTTTTTTTCTTTTTCTTTTGTTTTGTTTTTTTGAGACAGGGTCTTGCTAAATTGCTTAGGGCCTCACAAAGTTGTTGAGGTAAACTAGCTGTTTATTAAACTTATCCTTTCCTATTACAGTTTCATCACATGTCTCTCAGAAATATTAACTATAAATTACCTATTAACTGTACAACTACTTATGTAATTTATTAGTAAGAACAAACTAGGTAATTCTAGATAATCAAATAAAGCTTGCTTATTTCAGGTCTTTTCAAGTTATTTCCAGTGCTGCTTTGAAAATTTTAATTGTTCCTCCAAATTCTGTGTTCCAAATTGAATTGCACATTAGATTTGGATGGAGTCTCAGGGGGATTTTTATACCACTAGAGGGGGCAGTTGTATAAGATGAAATTTCAAATATGGAAGATACATCATGTAGAATTTAAGTGGCAAGGAATCTGAGGAAAGTTTGTTCTTAGATTTTAAAAGGTATTGTCCGTATATTCATTTGCTACAAATTCTGATGTATTTTTGTGGCCTTCAGGTCTGGGTTCTTGAAATGCGCACTGGTGTGCTTTGAATTGCCCAGGGTCAGGAGACAGGGCCACACATTTTGTTGAAAGTGATCTATAACCTGACTAATTGGAATTACCCCAACATCCACAAATCTTAGAATGTTTACAAAAATCCGGTGTGGACTCTTTGGGGGCAAATTATTGTAGAATACCAAGGTTTCCTGGATGCCATTGTGATCCACAGGACAGACTGATTGCACCTGAGTGGGTGCAGGATCCTACATGCTGTTCCTATGGAGCCACTGTCCATCCTCATTCTTACCCCAGAACATCTAGACAGACCAGATAACCTGTTGAAGACAGCATTTAAAGTTGTAAAGATTTCCAGAGTGTAAGGGACTCTCTTACAGAATTGAGAGATTCTCAATGTCCAGAGGCCTATTGTTCAATACATTTTATAGAACAAAAGCCAGATGCTTATAAGGGTGTCTGTATTTCCCCATACTAACCAGAACTTAGTTTTTAATCTTTCTTTAAAGAAAATACTGAATACTATTTGCATTCAGTATTGCAGGAACCCTACCTTAACTCCACCTTAGCTAGGTAGGTATCACCTTGTGTTTCACACATGGGAAACAACCAGAATTGCCTTGCCACAGCTAAACTTGATATCTTTGCTCAAGGCAGAATTAAAAGTTATTATAGTTTTTAGTCTTTTTCGTTAAATTATTTTTTCCAAAAAATAAGAGTAGATGTAGGCTGATGCAAAGGTCAAAGAAAAATAAATGCAGAAATTGGATGTTCTGCTTACTCCTAGGCAAGCAGGCAAGATGCTTCCTCATCTGCAAACTGAGCTGTGAGAATGAAATACCATTAATAAAATATCTGGGACCTGCTATAGGTTGAGCTTCCTTGATCTGAAAATCTGAAATCTGAAACGCTACAACTCTGAAAAATTTGAGCACCAACATGATGCCAAAGTGGAAAATTATATACTATGGAGCTTTGTTTCATGCACAAAATTATTTTTAAATATTGTAGAAAATTACCTTCAGGCTATGTGTATGAGGTATATATGAAACATATAGTTCTATCCTCAAGATGTATATACAAATATTTCAAAATCCAAAAAGTCTGAAATCAGAAATACCTCCGGTCCCAAGCATTTTGGATAAGGGAGACTCAGTCTGTAGTTTGGCATTCAGTATATTTTTATTTCCCCAGGGTTCTGAAATTTCTGCTGGACTCTCCCAATCAAACAATTGTTAGCTTCTTGCTCTTACAACCTAATAATAAATTCTTCTCTGACTCTGGGTTATGGCTGGACCTGAGATAGCTGATACCTCAGGGCTGACAGGAAATGGAGAACTTGTTGTTAGGGTCACACTTTCCAAAGCCCTTAACAATTCTCCTTTTGGACAGGAATTCAGGATCTCCTTTCTGCTTTCTTACTGTTTACATTTTGGTTCCTGATCAGTACTTTGTCTAAGCAATAAAGCAGCTCCAAAGTCCCATTGAGACAGGGAAAACTGGAAGAGAGGGAAATATATGAACTTTTCCTTCTTTTTTTTTTTAAGAGAGAGAGAGAGAGAGTTTTAATATTTATTTTTTAGTTTTTCGGCGGACACAACATCTTTGTTTGTATGTGGTGCTGAGAATCGAACCCAGGCCGCACGCATGCCAGGCGAGCGCGCTACCACTTGAGCCACATCCCCAGCCCTGAACTTTTCCTTCTTAATATTTTTTATTTAAAGGTCATTCTGTTCCAACTTGGCTTCCTGGAAGCCTCTGACTTTGGAAGCTTAGCATTGTGTCTTTCCAACTATCTTGACTGCAAAAAAGGGTGGAAGTTTCCAAATTTCCACAGAAACCCATCGTATGCTCTTCTAGAGTGAAAACATTTTTGCAATCAGAGAATCTATGATATTATTTATATTTTCATTGTAAATAAAAAATTGAGAACAAGTATATCACTCCTGTTTATAATTATGTGTTTTCTAGGATATGCCATTAAGCAATAAAGTGCTGAACTAGCTTATATTATAGAGAGATGTCCAAGATACATCCATTCAATTTCATTCATCCTTAACCTAAGCTTTTAGCAATCCATGACTTCATTTCCATGTATTAAAATTGATCTTTATCTTGAAAACTTACAAGTTTTAGCAATCCAGCTTCTTCATAACGTTCTAGTTCTTCTTTCAATTCCCTAATAATTCGTTCTTTCTCTTTCAGCTTTTTTTTCAAAATATTCAGCTTGATATTTGTTGCATCTGGCAAAGCAGCCTTCTCTTCTTCAACATCAAAATATTTCTGGGAATAAAAAAAGGCACACTAAAAATCAGAAACTCAGCTAACACCACTGGAAACCATTTCTTGTTTTATTTTAGCTGTTATCTTGTGAAGTCATGTTATTTTAAAAATTTGAACACAATTTGTAGTAACTTTTTTTTTTACATTACAGCATATGCTAAAGAATCAGGCATTTTTCTATAAGACCCAAAGCATGATGTATTACTCTAACTTTATCAGCCATGCAAATAATAATAGTAAAGATAAAATGGCAGAATTGGAGCCCCTCCCCCCACACAGTGATATCCCCCTCAAAACAACAAGAATTTGGTAGCTATTCATCAACAAAAGTGCTTTGTGGGAGCTTTGTGACCTGGGTAGGATGTTGCACAGCCCTAATGAAGCCCAAGATGGAGAAGGGCTGTTCTGATAAGACAGGCCTATATCCAGATGGCAGGTTCACCAACCATGATTCTAGCAACTGACCCAGAAATGGCTTCATCCCTCTATGGACTTGGATACAACCTGTTTGGCCTTGGTCCTACCACCAGATCCATATGTCAAGGGACTTCAAGGTTGTCATGCCTGTCAGTACCTCTGACAGGTCTACTGGACTCAGTTATGGTCATGAACCCTCATTCATCATGAACATTGAGGAATGGCCCTGTAACTCAGCTAAAGCTTCTCTCACCTGTGGCTTGAGAGAAGACTCCCTTTCTCAGGGACCCACCAGCAGTCATGTGATCCATGGCCTTGGAGTTAGGCCATTGACTTCAGTACCATATCAAATTCTGCAGTGCCCAGTAATTTAGCCCCTTTTAGCTGCCATCTGACAGCAACAGTCTCTCCTACCCAGGGAGGAAAGGCTCATAGGTCTCAATCCCATTGGCTCTGCAATCCAGCTCCTTCTCAGTCGAGAACCAGATCTGTCCATCCAGAGATTTTTTTTTTCAGACAGAAGTTTAGACCTCCTATCCAAATAGAAGACATACCATACATGCTGCCTGAGGCAGGTTCACTGATCTCAGTGCACTTGCATATTCTTTTTTTTAAGATTTTATTTATTTATTTTTTAATTTTAAGTTGTTATATATGACAGCAGAATGCATTACAATTCATATTACACATATAGAGCACATTTTTCTGAATCAACCCCGTGACCTAGCTCCAGACCCACTCAGCCATGGTCGGGAGGCAGTCCTGCCTCCATAAGAACCTGGCAGAAGGCAAGTTCACCTCTGTCCATGGTGCAGGTCTGCAGCCCTCAGTCTCAACTATGGACCATGAAACATCCTTGAAATTCAGCTGTAGCTCCTTTCAACTGTAGTCCAGGACCAGTCCTACCCAATCAGGAATCCATCCAATGACCCAGCAGGAGCCCTTCCAGGGACTTGAAGAGAGACACACTCATCTATATACCTGGTAACAGACCTGTCATCTGTGGGACCAACCACAGAACCTAAAACAAACCCTTCATGTAGCACTACCCAACTGATCAAGGTCCTAGAGGCAGTCAAGTATTCTGAGGGACTAGGAAGAGTCCAAGTCTTCTCAAGTCCCTGGTAATAAGCCAGCCAACCATGAACCCTACTGAGGACCCAACAGCAGCCACATGACCTAACTGAAATTCCAGAGGTAATTCCATCACCTTAGGGACTCAAAAGAGAAAGTATTTACCTGCCAAAAACAGTCTATAAAGATCAGAAACACCCATACCAACATAAGGATACATAGATAATAAAGAATCAGATAAACACGACACTACCAACTAATAAAACTCCCTTCACTAAACCTAAAGAAATGGAGATCTACAAATTGCCTGGCAAAGGATCCAAAGTTATCATCTTGAAGAAGATGAATTACACAGAAGACAACACAGACAAATAAAACGAGGAAAATAAATGCATGAGCAAAATCAGAAGTCTAATAAAGAAAGAATCAAAAGAACTAAATAGAAATTCTGAAAACTACAATAACTGAACTTAAAATTACAACAGAGCTTCAACAGCAAGTTCAATCATGCAGGGGGGAAAAAGAATGAAACTGAAGACAGGTTATTTGAAATTAACCAATTATAGAAAAAAACAATGAAAAGAATGAAAAAGAGAGAAGAAAGCAGAAAGGACCTTTGGAACAGTGTGGAGTGAATGCAAATATGAAGTATCAAAGTCTCAGAAGGAGAAAAGAGAAAAGTGCAGAAAGTTTCTTAAGAGAAACAATGGCTGAAAACTTCCCTAAATCATGAGAGCTTATGATAAGAACATCCAGATTCCTGAAGCTCAAAGAATTCCAAGAAAGATCAGCACAAATAAGAATATTCTGAATCCCTATAATCAAATTCTCAAAGTCAAAGCCAAAGAGAAAATTCTAAAAGCAGCTACGGAAAACAGATATGTCACATATAAGAGAGCTTTTATAAGGTTACTAGCGTATTTCTCAGCAGAAATGCAGCCCATGAGAGAGTGGGATGATATATTTGAAGAGCTGGAAAAAAATCAAAAGCCAACCAGGAATACTATATCCAGCAATGATGCTGTCCTTCAAAATAAAGAAGAGATAAAAAAATATTACCAGACAAGCAAAAGTTGAAGGAATTCATCACAACAAGACCTGCCTTAAAAGAATGTAAAGGAAATTCTATGAGTGGAAACTAAAGGGTGCTAAGCAACAACATGAAAACTTATAAAAGTGTAAAACCCACTGGTAAAGATAAATAGATGGTCAAATTCAGAATACTGATATTGCAATGGTAGTATATAAATCACTTTTAACTCTAGACAACAAAGTAACAAAAAAAATAACTTAGGCCACAAGTTGTTAATAAACACATAAGAAGATGGGCCAAAAGTAAAAGTGTGAAACTTGTGTGATTGAAATTAAATTTTTAGGAGTTTAGAAGAGAATCTTATAACTGTAAGATGTTTTATATACTATCCATGTTTTATATACTAACCACGAAGAAAACATCTCTGGTAGATACACAAAACACAAACACACAAAAAATCAAAGCATACCACTGCCCTCCCCACCGCCCCCCCCAAAAAAAAAACAGAAGGGAAAACAGTGAGAAAAAAAGAAACAAAGGAACCACAAAAGAGAATAATTAATAAAATGGCAATACTGAGTCCTTACCTACCAACAATTAGTTTCAATGTAAATGCATTAAATTCTCCAGTCAAAGAGAGGGACTAAACAGATTAAACAAAACAACAGAATACAATGGTGTGTTACCTAAAGGTGAGTCACTTTAGTTTTAAGGACACACACAGGCTGAAAGAAAGCAAAAGAATGGAAAAGATACTCTATGAAAATGGTAACCAGCAGAGAATAAGGGTAGCTAAACTCATATCAGACAAACTAGCCTTTGAGCCAAGATTTATCCCAAGAGACAAAGAGAATCACTATATGATGATAAAGGAATCAATTCATTGGTAGGATATATCAACTGTAAATATATATGCATTCAGTATTGGAGCATCTAAATATATCAAACAAATATTAGCTTTGAACATAATAGATCTTAAGAAGAAAGAGCATATCATAATAGTAGGCAACTTCACTACTCCACTGTCAACAACAGATTGCTCAATCAGACATAAATTCAAGAAGGAAACTGCAGACTTGAATGGCAGGAGCAACAGCAATAAGGAATATTAGGTGAAAATTCCAGGGAGGTGACTAATAACTTGAGGTGTGTAGACTAAGGTGATTGCGAGTAGCTTGGCATTGCTAGTGGGCAAATTTTTAGCAAAGAAGCAGAAGGAGATAAAAGCTGGGAGGTACAGGGGCTTTTTGTGTGATGCCAAGGGGTTTGGGGTTCATTCTACAGCTATGTGGGAAACCATGAAGGTTCTTAAACAGTGGCAGAATGTGATCAGACTTGTGTGTGGAAAAACGACTCAGATGACTGGATAAGTGGCTGAGTGTATGAAGACCTGAAAGAATAAGAAAGCAAAAGCCACAGGCCAGGCAGGCAGTGCTGACTACTGGGACATCAGAGATAAGATAATGGAAAATGGATTTAGGTAAAACTGAATGGCTTACTGAATATGAAGAGTGAATTTGTGTTCTATTTTTTCTATTGTTGCATATCAACTTTGCCACAAACATAGTGACTTAAAATACACACACACACACACACACACACACACACATATACGCACTTATTATCTTCTTAGTTTTTATAGGTCAGTAACTCATGCCCACCTAAACTAGATCCTCTGCAAAGGTCTTGCAAGGCTTCAATGAAGATGTGGTTCCAGGCTGTGGTCTCATCTGAGGTTCAATTGGTAAAGGAACTTCTTCCAAATTCACTTAGGTTGTTGGAAGAATCCACTTCCTTTTAGCTGTAAGATCAAGAGCTTCAGGTTCTTGATCATCAGCCAGAGGCTGCCTTTAGTTCTATACCACATGGGGTTCCCCAGCATGCCCTCTTGCTTTCTCCAAGCCCACAAAGGAGAGAGAGACTCAAGCCAGACAGGAACTACACATAAACTCAGGCAGCCCATCACTTTTGCAATATTCTATTGCTTGGAAGTAAGTTTTCATCCTGTTCACATTCAAGGAGACAGGAGAGGTGGACATATGGGGGTGTGAACACCAGGATGGGGATGGTGGCAGCCCTTTGAAGAGTGTGTTGGGCACAAAGAACAGACTGTGCAGGTTTCCAGCTGGGGAGGATAGGGTGTGGGTGGGGTTATAATGCTTCCAAGTGAGACTACGTGAGAGAAAGGGCAGAGTTAAGGGAGAAGATCTTTGAGTCACGATGAGTTTGGGCCAATGATGAATTTGGCATGACATATTTTATCATCTTATTTCAGAGACTTTAACTTTTTGCAGTATCATCTGTTTTCTTTCTCACTCTCTTTTCAACCTGAAGCCTCATTTGGGCCATTAAGATTGATCCAAGGAAGTGAATTCTTAACCATCTGGGGCCAAGCATGCCCATCCATTTCATAAGAAGAGTTCAGAAAATTTAATCCCTGCTAAACACCGGGATGTTAGTATTCCATTGCATATTT